CTCATTTCGATGGTCCTTTCTTGGGCATGCACACACACACGCCAAACGAAACATACATGTACCTGGACACACGAAACGCGCATTGAATCCGCAACGAAAATACACGAGGAGGAACTGGTGTGCGTAAACCATCAACAATCAATCAAATCAAACAGACAGGCACACACGGCACCATGCTCCTCGCTGACACCTCAGCCTATTATAGCCCTCCACCCATCGAAGAACGAAAGTAACCAGGGGGGACATATCAGGTGGGTTTTGCAAATCAATGTACGCACGCACACGACAACACACATAGACTTTGTTTACCAGCGGAGCCATCCATCAATCCATACGGAAGAGGTATTGGTTGTTGTTGTTGTTGTGTTCGTCGTCGAAGTTTCGGTCCCTACACGCCGCAAGGCCGACGGGCGGTGTTGTGCTGGATCACCTACGATGAACGCGCACGACTACTACTGCAAGTTGCATGAGTATGTCTAATGATCGGTAAACGCTGTCCTTGTATGTATGACAGACTGGTCCGCATTGCATGGCGATTGGAATTGAACGCAGCAGGGGGTGGAAATAATGTGGCTTCAACACGGGCTGACTGGTGCAACTTTTGGGCCTGAGCAGCTCCAACCGTGTTGTGGCAGCGTTATCATTAGCAGAACGCACGCTTGCCTTGCCTTTAAACGAACGCATACCAAACTGCCTTAACCCTGTCCCACGGATTTTGAAAGCCTATACTGGTGCGTACGCACGTACGTGTGGAAGGTTGGTTTTCAGCACCACGTACGACGATTCGATCCCGGTGCCACGCGTATAGTATCCCATTTCCCCATTTTCTTTCGCGTCTGTTCCAACTATCTAGACTATCTATGTCGTGAATACAACAATTATGCATACATATAAGCAACGCATGTATGTACTCCGTTGGACAGGTCTTGCAGGCTTGATGTTTTAACATCGAACGAAGGTTGGAGCAGCGTGTTATCGCTCGCTACAACAACAACAACAGCTGTTCGGAACGAATCAAGAGCACAACATGTCAATTCGCTTCACACGTTACATATGTAGAATAGGGAACGAATAACGGGAACGAATGTATGTGTTAGAAAAGCACGATGACCACTAGACCACCAGTCAGCGGTGATTGGTGGTGGTGTAGTGGTCATCGTACTTGTCTAACAGAATGCACTTGTTGTCTACGGAGCAACTATTTATATAATAAATAGTTTGTGGGCTCTCTGAGCGTGTAATTGGGCTCTACGAGAACGTTTGATAACTGATGAAGGGGAACTGGATCCCCCGTCCTCTCACTCTCCATGTAGTAAGTGCTGAGCAGACCTGCCGAGAAAACGACGGACCAAGAAGATAAGCAGCGACTATTGTTGTGAAAGCCGTAAGCAAATAATTAGCGGACCTGCTTCCTGTTCTTCTTTCAACTCCGAAACAAGAATGGTGTCGTCGGCAGGACTCACTCTGTTGTCGTGGGAGGTAACACACTCTCTCCTCTCTTTGGCTAAAAGTTCAATTATCCAATGCAGGGATTTTTCCTGCAGCCCTCTGTTGTAGCGGGTTGGCGCTACCTCGGTTTTGTGACCTCCAAACACCTTCTGTCTACCGATTGAACCAGGCTCTAAGTCCTACGTAACTTATCACTTTTGACTGTCGTTTCCGTTCCTCGAGGCTCACTTTATATAATACCCGAATTACTGCACGATGAAAGGACATATCCGCCTAAATGAGAGCGATGCCAGACCCATAGTCCCGAACGAATTTAATCTACAACCTCCCTATGGTTACCTATGCAGAAAATGATGGAGATTTGTTGACATTAGCACCGGTTTAGTTCGAAGCTGTCATCACATGTGCAGCATTTAATACTTTGTTCGTGTGAAACAACAATGAGGATAGTAAGGAAGGTGGATGCAAGCCTTGGGCACGATTTCGGTAGGGTTCGTGGATGCAAGCCTTGGGTACGATTCAGTAACGTCATACCCCGCGAAGAAGTACCATAAGCCAGGCGAAATCATTGTCCAAAATATTGGATAATCTGAATGTGGACGTACACGCCTTGAAATGACATCGCTCAAGGTGAACGTGGGGCATCGTTGGTTAGGTGGGGTGAAAATTACAAGGAACGCTCGTTGTCGTCGCCAGCATTCGTTCGGGTTAAAAAAACAAAACATGCTTACGCTGCCGGCTCGGTCTTCCTCGTCCCACAGGTAGACCTTGCCAATGATTTCCAGCGTTTAGTGCGTGATGAAACTTTGTGGAACGGAGTGGCGTTGATTCTTCCATCGTCGATCGGACAGAAAACAATGCTGCATTGGTAAACGAAAGTGGTGCGCAAGAGCCCTCATCGATATTGATTCTCATCGATATTGATTGCTGTTTTCTTCAGTACAGTGGCACTCCTAATCAACACGACCGTTATCTTCATGTACTTGTTGTTCCGGTGTTCTCGTGTGTGTCAGGAAACAAACCTAGAGCTGCACCATCACGAGAAGCGCCAGCAAGCATGACTAAGTCTGAAGCAACGAAGCCGGCCGGTGACCTGCAGGCTAAAGTGACGGGCGTAAAAAAGCTCTTGGCGCACTTCAAGAAGAAACTCACAAGCGTCAAGAAACAGGTACTACTTTTGTGTTGTTGTTAGTCGCGATGGAACTATACGAACTCAAGTGAAGAACTACCAGGATGATACATCAACCGCTACCGACGAAATAAATATTGGTCACGCATTATTACAGGAAGGGACGCGAAATTACTTAACAAGCCGATCGACCCAAAACACTAGTGCCGAAATAATAACCGAAAACGACCCCAAACACCGATCGATGAAGTTTTCTCGGCTGCATGGTGTCTTGTCATAAAGAGTGCGCAACACTACGGGGTGGATAGAATAGCATGCCAGCAGAGACAAACGAGTATGCCCTCTCCCCCCCCAACAACCCCAACCCCGCGCATTTATTTTTCTTTCTATTAGCACAAAGAGGCCGAGAAGGCCCTCAAGAAAGTGCAAAAGCAAGCCAAGCAAGCACAGAAAAAGATGGGTGGCGATGACAAGAGCGACGACGACGACAGCGATGATGCCGAGGAAGGCGATGCCGGAAGCGACATGATGGGTGCCGAGGCCGAAGATGGCGATGGTGCCGAAGAGCTTGCTAGTTAGCGGAGGGAAATGTGAAGGCGAAGAGTGTGTTGCTGTCCCAGCACCACGGTACAACAAGTAGAATCGCGGATGCTGGATTGGTGGCGCAACTAGCTCGCCGAATCGATGGCGTATGCCCCGATCACAGAAGGATTGGAGGACGTCTACGATTGACTGCTGACACTGCTGTCAAGATTCATCGTGGTAGTGGTGTTCATTTGACCAGCTGATTGGTTCGACCATGCTAATTTAATTTGTGCTATCGAAGGAGGAGGACGACGAACAATGATGATTTGTTGCTCGGGGAACGCATGAATGAAGGAATGAATGAATAAACCTCAGATCGCTCTTTTATTCGGTCATCGATGTCTGCTCTTGACGTTACCGCTACTGTATGTACTCCTTGCCTGAGGAAGACCAACGATGGGTAAACAAGAGAACTAACAGCAGAATGGTGACTTGCAATTTTTGCACATGGCCGCCACTAGAAGTAAATATGTTGCAGTCTTGGGTGGACGCTCGGAAACGTTCACTGCTTGTGACCACCGAAAGGAGGCGGAGGCGGTGCATTGGGCGGATCCGGACGAAAGAGCCGGGTAGGTATCCGTTCCGTTTTGTGGGGTCGCAGATGCAATTTGGCACGGACCAAGAGGACTTCAGTTGGTACCAGATCACGTCGAGAGCTTCGCAAAGCGACAGCAGATGGGTGTCGCTGTTTCTGCGACGTTGACTAGGAAACGGTTCGCGATTGAAGTAGAAGGAGTTCTTTCATGCGAGGTTGCTCACACGAAAAGGCAGCAGCAGCTCTGGAGCATCTGCAATGATGTGGCTACAACAAGGTTGCCCCGGTCGTCCGGTCATCCGCCGCGCGCACGCGGCTATCTTAACACCTCAGGCCAGACGGTCTGCAATTCTCCGGGCGCGGTGTTCACCTCGCAAGTCGGAAACACCTTCTTGAGTGGAGAACCACGGGACACCGGCCCGTGATAAGTCGCGGTCACGATGAACCTCTGTATGGGACTCCCCAGTATTCACAAGCGGGGAATTTTGCACCAGCATATGCATACAAGGCTCTGTTGTTTTGTCACATTTTCAACCTCACTGCTCTTCGCATGATGTGTCCCCAACACTACACGGAACAACATGCTGTACGTGTTTCTGCATAAACTTTCAACACACATGGCACAACAAGTGTCAAAAAGTCACCAAGCCACTAGCTGTATTTGCAATGTGTTTCGCGTGCCCACCATTTGCCGATCCGCCCCCCTCCAATATTCGTCGTTTCTACCTCCTAGAAATATTCTACCACGGTCGACACCAATCAATCGCGTTAGCGATGATGGTGTGCACAGCATGTACAGGGAGCGAACCTACATTCAAAACCCTGAAAGTGATGAGCCTTGGTGTGGCAAAACAAGTTACAAACTGACCGCTTCCGCTGGATCCCGACGACGAACTGAAACCGCCCCATCAATCAATGTGGAGATGCCTTATCAAACAACAAGCGGCACCTTCGACGCTACTACTACAAATTCGGGGAGAGGATGATGCAGCCCGCTGCCCTGACGAGTACAAACTGCAACGAGTAGCTAACATGTTTGGCCTCAACTCAAGCCCCTAATGAGGGCATTCATGCTGGACACGTTGGGGTCGACCCCGTCGACCGCCGACATCCTCCTCAGCAAGGAGCTCCCCAGGTGCCACTTCCCGCCGTTGCAGCAGGCCCGAATGGCCCCGTTGAACGTGGCCACGCTCGGCGCCACGCCCGACGCCTCCATCTCATCCAGGAGAGCTACCGCGGTCTCCCACCGACCTTCCCCGCCGCCGCTACCACTACCGCTGTGGCGGGCGCAGCTGTCGATGATGGCCGTGAACGCCGGCTCGTCGGCCGCCTGGCCCGAGGCCCTGAGCTCCTCGAACAGCTCCAGCGCCCGCTCGTGCTGGTTGGCGTCCGTGCAGAGCTTGATCGCGGCCGAGTGGGAGAAGCTCGTCGGGGGTAGGCCCCGCGACTTCATCTCCTCCAACAGCCCCAGCGCCAGGCTCAGCTCCCGCTCCCCCGCCGCCGCCGCCGCCGCCGCCGCCGCCGCCGCCTTCCCGCCCCTGAACGCCGCGATCGCTGAGGTGAACGAAACCACGTCCGGCTCGAGGCCGGCCTCTTCCATTTCCCGCAGGAGGGACAGCGCCCGCTCCCAGCGCCCGGCCCGCGCGCAGGCATCGATGGCAGCGTTGAAGGAGCGCAGGTTGGGCGGGAGACCAGCCGCCGCCCGCGACTCCGACAGCAGCGACAGGGCCCGGTCCGCCAGGCCGGCCTTCCCACAGACGCCGATGGCGATGTTGTAGGCGTGGGAGTTGAGGGCGGACGGCGGCAGGGCCGCCCGGGCCTCGTCCCACAGGGCGAGCGCGGTGTCCCACTCCCCGGCCTTCCCAGCTGCGTCGATCGCGGACGAGTAGCTGGTGACGTCGGGCGCGACCCCCGCCGCCGGCATGTCCTTCCGCAGGAGGCTCACGGCCTTCTCCCACTCCCCGGACTTTCCGTAGGCGTCGAGGCAGATGTTGAAGTTCCACACGTTCGGCGGAGCGGTGCTCCCGCCCTCCTTCATGGCGCGCAGCAGCGCCTGTTGTAAATATCGGAGCAAAGAAAAAGAAGCAGCATGCCGTGAGAACAAACATCGCGGTTGGTTCAAGACCGTTCCCCCCACCCCCCCTCGGGACTAATTGGCTGAATCGCTTGTTTTCATTGGTGAGGCCCCTCTCGTATCGGGGCACTCAGCACGGCGGTTGTTATTGAGGTTTCATGCATGCCAAAAAACACACACACACGCAACAAAGGAAGCTCTGGGAGTCTTTCGTGCGTGGGGCGCATGTTTTGCCGCTAGGCTTTGGAAGAAAAGGTACAGCTGCGAGCAGTTGGGGCGACGGGCTCGAATCGTCTGGCGCACCAAGCACGCTGGCCCAGGGAGACGGCTCGATTCTTCTTCCAAAGCGACTCGAGTACAAACTCCCTGGCCTGGCTACAGCAGTACTCGCAGCAGTTGTCGTTCTTTCAAAGTTGCCTCTGCTTACGCTAAACAGCGCGCAGTCTCATCGCCCGGTTGCTAACGAGATTCACCGCGTGGCACAATGCAAGGAGGAGGTAAGAACCCACGCTAAACCCCAAGCATGTGGTATTTGGACCCCTAATGGTGTGTTGGGGTATATCTTGCCCGGGAGTAACAGGCGGGGCTTGTCTGAGGAACAAACCGCACACACAGACACACACGGTAGCTCGAAGGTGAACCGCCTCCGAATCCTACTTCTTTGAGAAGCCTTGAGGCGAAGAAAGGTAAACTCAACGTAAAAATTTCCCTTGCAGAATTCTACGGGGGCCAGATGGTTGGCGGTGGCCACGATTTAACCGAGTTGTGCCTGTGCCAAGACCACTACACGTTGGAAAAGCAGTGAGGAGGGTAGATCTAGACTTGTGAAAGCTCTCCAAAACGAACTCGAGTGCAAGGTACCAGCCTGGGTAGACACGTGCAGTTTTCTTCTGTTGCTACCGTCCCTGCCTTTACTCCGGAGAATAGCGTAGACTTCCTCATGACGCTCGGTCACAGGGTCTCAGATCGTGGCTTAAAGAAGCGATTTGTGTTTTTCAAGGCACTTAGACTGACGTATTTTCATTGGTCAGCCGGTTAGCGCGGTTGATGCTGGTAAGAAAGACACGCACGGCAGCAGTAGCATGCATGCCCGAAACTCGATCAGACTCACCGGTACCAGCGTCCACTCTTCCGCGTTGACGCACGCCTTCATCACCGCGGAGTAGCTCCAGCAGTTGGGCTCCACCCCCGCCGCGCCCATGTCCTCCAGGAGGCCGAACGCGAGCTCCCACTCGCCCCGCCGCCTCGCGGCGTTCAGGCAGTTGTTGAAGCACCACACGTCCGGCTCGACCCCAGCCTCGCGCATCCTCCCCAGCAGCTCGGCGGCGTCGCGGCTGCTCTCGCCGGCCGCTCGGTAGGCGTCGATCAAGGTCGACCACGTGAAGAGGTCCGGCTTAACCCCGGCGTTCACCATGTCCTCCTCCACGAGGGAGAGCGCCTGCCGAGACCTGCCGCTCTTCGCGAAGGCCGCGAGGACGGTGTTGAAGCAGCGCATGTTCGGCTTGACGCTCTTGCCTCCCGTCCGCGCCGTCATCCGCGAGAGGATGCCGTAGGCCTCGTCGGGCCTACCTCCCCGCGCCGCCCGGCACGCCTCAATCGCCGCCCCGTAGCTCACCACGTCCGGAGCGACGCCCTTTCCCGGCATCGATTCCAAGACCGACGTCGCCTCCTTCCACCGCCCGCTCTTGGAGAGGGCGCCGATCGCGGCGTTGTACATGATGTGGTTCACGACGGCGCCGTCTCCCTCCGCCTGTCTCAGCAGGGAAAGGACTCGTTCCCACTTGCCCTGGCCCCCCAGCCGCTGCGCCACGCGAACGAAGCGCTTGCCGTCCTCCGCAGGCCGATTCCGCAGCAACCGGCGAGGAGGAGAGAACGGCCGACGCGGTCTTATCGCCGTCGCTGCTGCAGCCCTGGCTACCGCCTCGCTCTCGAGAGAACGGGGAGCGCTGCTGTTGCCCCTGGTTGGCAATGTGTCCGCTGCTGCTGGGGTGCGCGGCGCCGCCGCGCGCGTTGTTGTTCTAGGTTCTCTTTGTGCGGCAATCGGCTGGGCAGCAGTTGCGCCTCTCGAGCAACATCGACTCTGAAATACCCTGACATGTGCACGGACCATTGTCCTTGCTCTTGTTGCCATGGTCCCTCACAGCTCACAGCAGCAGCAGCAGCTGCCACGGCCTTTAGGTGTGCTCAATGCCCTGCCGCATGTGTCGTATATCTCCAAAACGCGGCGGGATTGGGATCGGGGCCCCGCACCCTGGAGATAGGGGGGGGGTGCACCTTTCGTTGTGTGTGTGCGGTGGTGGCCAACACACGCATGCACATGCTACGTGCATTTGCTGTGTAATTAATTCTACGCGATGCACGAAAGCAAGTGCGTTATGCTTGGAGGCATATTTCTAGAAATCTTGTGCCCATGGCGATGGGTTAATGTGCCTCTTGACTTCGGTCGTTACGACAACACGATCTTTTTTTCCTGTGGATCTTCCGAACGTTCAGCCATGTACAGCAGTACGGCGCAGATTCCAAAGCGTCGTATGGTCATCGGCCATCATCATGACGCTGAGTATGTGTAGCAGAGGGAATTACGTTTCTCTGTCTGAATCCCAGCGCCTCGACTTCTACCTTGTCGCTTCGGTTCTTCAAAATTCCATTATAACCACAAGACAAAATAGTCTACCCGTCCGTCGAGATATGCCAGTAAATATCCCAACCACCTGCCCAGATTCTTGATTTTCCAACATTAGGCAGGTGCCGGTACAATGGTTACTAGCAGTAGCAAGCGATGCACAGGCTTTCCCCCTTGCTCAGTGTGGTGTGGGAGTGGGCCATAGCGACCGACTGAGAGAGAAAAGGAAGGATAAGGAAGGAAACAGACAAAAGAAGCAAAGCGGCTCGAACCTGCACACCATGTAGCTCCAAGCTGAACCCGTCACATCTCGTCACACTTGGCGTCGTCGGAGAGTAACAGCGGCATTAATCCTAGCAGTGTACATGCGTCGCATCTATATCTTCTGACGGTTGGTTGTCGACAGGATGAGTGGTGCGGAAGAGCCCCTCTTATGAAAACCGAAGAAAGGGGGTTTCGGGTACGACGGTACTACCTCATTTCGATACAGCGCGTCCAAACCTTCACCACAACCAACGACGGATTCTTGCCCTCAAGAACGTGAAATGGGCATGCCACAGCAGCAGCACTTCGACCGAAAACACGGAAGCTTGAGAGATCAACGACTAGACACCACAAACACGCACGGCAACGGCTCCTCCTGGCTGGGCAGTCAGTATTTGGAAGACAAACCAACAAACTCGTAGACTCCACGGAAAAAGCAGCAGACGGTAGAAGAGCAGCAGGCTTTCATGCCCAATGACGTAGTACGTCACGACCTTTTCAAGGACACCCTTCACCGCAGGATGAACTTTCAGACTACAAGTATTCGGAAGACGAAACGCCGCCCATCGTCTAGGCCCTCTATTTCACCGGGTGCAATATCTTCGCTCCCGTATCTCTCGCATGCCGCGGTTTCGTTTTCATTCGATATTCATCTCGCGAGGAATTCCGCCCCAGAGCGTGGTATCGTAGGTATTGAGGATGAGGATGATGGCGGGCTAGTCTACGGCGGGCGGGCCGTCTCTTGCTCTCTGTCTGCCTAACTCTCTCTGTCTGTCTCTGTCTCTGTCTCTGTCTCTGTCTCTGTCTCTGTCTGTCTGTCTGTCTGTCTGTCTGCCTGTCTCTCTCCCTCTCTCTCTCTCTCTCTCTCTCTCTCTCTCTCTCTCTCTCTCTCTCTCTCTCTCTCTCTCGCTGTCCCTCTCTCTGTCCCTCTCCCTCTTTCTCTTGTCTCTCTCTGTCCCTCTCTGTCTCTCTCCTTCTCTCCTTCTCTCCCTCCCCCTCTCTCTATTCGAGCATTTGATACTGCACAAGCCGTCGGAAGTGCCCATCCGGCTTGCTCGCCAGCTCGTCGTAGCTGCCAATTTCGACCACCTTGGTGATCGTTCGTACGGTACGCACGGCGGAAGACACGGCAGATAGCATAGGCACGCACCCACACGCGCCGGTCGGTCATTTCGTTGAGCTGGTTCAACCTTAGGTAACGCAAGGGCTTTGTGCTACACTGCTCTAAGAGTGGGGACGCAGCAAGTGAATTTGCAACACAGGAACAAGACTGATGACTCACCACCTTCATGTTACTACGAGGGGGGGGCGTACGCATGCAACTGCATCATGAAGTCGGGCAGACCATAGACCTCGCACGGTCACGGGGGGGGGAGGGGGGGGGGCATTGCAGCAGGCAGCACGGGGTAGGGGGGTGCAGGGGAAAAAACATGGCAACCAGCTGAGAGAGAAAAACCACTTTCAAGGTCGGAGAAGAGGCAGCAGCTCCTCCCACCATGCACACCAACACAAACCGCAAGGATCAATTTTTCAGTTGAAAAAACGGGTACGACCGACGTCCCTCTCTCCAGATTCAGACAGTGGAACGCAATCGATGCCGGCAAGAACAACGCAGGACCACAACCACGCACATACCAAACACACATTGACGTCCGATCCCCGCCCCCCCGCCCCCCGCTCGGCGATGTCAGGCGTGCTCGAGTTTTTTAGTCCCTCTACATGTAGAATATAAGACTAACGTTTTTTCATTGGTCAGCCGGTTAACGCGGTCGATGCCAAAACACACACACACACACACACACACACACGCCTCCCCCATGGGGCCGCCTCACGAGGTCCGACGTCGTGGGTTTTAGAAGCCTTTCGTGTGTTCAACCGCACTGAGACCGACGCCTTGTCATTGGTCAGCCGGTTAGCGCGGTCAATGCTAGCTAAAGGATACACACACACATGACCTTCCCCAAAACAAAAAACGCAGGGCTAGGCTAGGGAAGAACTGCCCAAAGATTGTTGTCAAAATGATGATCAGAATGATGGTAGCGAAAAACAAGGAGGATAATGGTGAAAGTGCTCCTAAACGAACTAGAGTACAAGGTATAAGCCTTAGTAGACGCGTCCAGTTTTCTTCTGTTGCTACCGTTTCTGTCTTTGATCCGAAGGGTAGTTTAACCTCCCCCATGCTGCCCCCTTACGGGGTTCCAGTGCATGGCAGATAGAAGCGTTGTGTGTTTTCCACCGCACTAAGACTGACGTATTTTCATTGGTCAGCCGGTTAGCGCGGTCGATGCTAATAAACACACACAAACACACACACCCGGTGCCGTCACCGAGGGCAAGGCAAAGCATCCTACTCCATATACAGTACAGTATTTTACACTTACCTCCCCCTTGTTGAGCACGCAGATCTTGTTGGCCATGCTCCTCACCGTGGAGAGTCGGTGCGCCACTATCAGCGACGTCCGCCCCTCGGTTACCCGCTCCAGCGCCGCCTGCACCAGATGCTCGCTCTCGCTGTCCAGGGCACTGGTGGTGCCAGTGTCGGTTTCGGTTCGGTTCAATTTCGGTTGGATTGGGTGTTGGGTAGGCGTCGGCTGCACTCTGTTTGGCGGGAGGAGGGACTATGTCGAGCAACAACAACAACAACAACAACAACAACAACATCGAAACCAAACAACGAAAACAAGTCCTCACCTGGTAGCTTCGTCTAGGAGCATGATGGCGGGGTCTTTCAACACCGCCCTCGCAATGGCGATACGCTGCTTCTGCCCCCCCGACATCTGGACGCCTCCTTCCCCAACCTGCGTATCGTATCCATCAGGAAAACCCTTCCAGGGTACCAAGGGTTCCACAAAAGAGGCGCGATATGTTAGATGTACAGCACATCCACTATTGTTAGATGTACAGCACATCCACGTGTATGCCACAAGTCCCCGCTTACTTAGAGGCGCGGCATGCTAGATGTACAGCACATGCTCTATTTTTGGATGAACAGCATATCCACTATGCTACAACTCAGCGCTGACGACTTGTACCATGGTGGATATGCTGTACATCCAACACGACAGCCATACAACAGTATCGAAGCCAGGGTCGCAAGACGAAGACAGCAAATCAATTCAACGTTGGTTCATACACCAAAGCCAGAGTTCGACATGAAGGGGACCATTAGGTCAACAACAGCAGCACCCAAAGGCGCCTTGGCGAGTGAGGAAGTGGGCGGGGAGTTTGCGATGATGGTCGGTCATGGTTTTGTTCAGTCGGGTCTAAGGGTTGACAATTCTCATTCGTTGTTCGCTCTCGCTCTTGCCTCAAAAAGACTAGGGGCATGAACACAGCGATGACATTGCACCGAAAGAGGCCGACACAAGCTCAAAAGATACAAGGATGACAAGACGGCGGAGGAATTGGAGCTAGAGTTATTACACGGCTGTGTGTCTCAATCAGCCGATCCCTCCTCCCCGTCCACCCGACTTGCACCACTCAGGAGGACGCGAACACCCGAACGAAAAACACCAACAGCTCACCGCCATCGTCTTCAGCGATCACCCTTCTTTGGTTCGAAAAACTCCCTACGAATCGACTCTGCCAAACAAGAAAACAAGTAATGGCATGTGCTCTGGTTTAGTTTCGATTGTACGACTCGGCGGCGAGAGTCAGAGATCCCTTCAACAAATGACTGCCGTGTCAAACGAAACACCTGCCGAGTTGTACCGCTACAAAGAAAATGGAAAACAAAAAACAGAGTTTGCCTCCCGTTGGGCTCACCGTCAAAGTCTAACTCTACCAAGCATCAAGTTTTGGCCCACTGCTTTGGTCATCACGGGAACATTCGCACCGCCGAAAAAAATAAAGCTTCACAAAAAACAAAATCTGAATCGAGCGCCCAATCAAGATCCATGCACAACGTTTCACGCTGGATGTACGTATACGTGCAAAGTTTTTTATTTCGATGGAATGGGGGGACACGTTCCCATTGTTTCTTACACATCGGTCCTTGCACCTTTCGGTGCAATGCTGGCCGCACCAGCCGATCTCACACGCAGGACTATCGACAATACACTACGGACACGTGCCTCCAAGTGTACAGAGAAACATTAACACGTGCTGTGCTAACAGAAGTACGTACCTCAACGAAATCCGAAGCGTTCGCTACGGCAGCTGCAGCTTCCACCTCCGGTCGGCTAGCCTCCGGTCTCCCGTAGCGGATGTTGTCAGCGATGCTGCCCCCGAACAAAACCGGCTCCTGCTCCACCACACCCACCTGGAGGAACGGTTAAGGACGGAAAGGGTTGGGAGGGGAGGGGGGGGGGGTGTTAATGTAAACGCGTGCAGTAGTGGTTAGACCATTGACCTCAGTAGTGGTTAGACCATTGACCTCGTATCCCTACAACGCCGGGACGGAGCGGTATGCCTTCCGGGTTTTTGCCGTCCCAGGATACGTTTCGGGGGAATAAATAGTTCGTTTTGTTGTTGTTGGTGGTGGTGTTATCGCTGCTGCTGCTGCTGCTATTGCCCGATGACCATGCGCCCGCTATTCCGAGCGCGAATGGCACACACGCACCAAAGCCTAAAGAAGCACTAGAAGCCGCTCGCACTATAGCAGATCACGAGGGTACAGCAGTAGGTCCCAAAATATATATATGTATATACATAAAGAGAACGGCCTTCCCACTGCAGCCTCGATCGACTTAGAGTTTCTGTGTGGTAAACAGAAAACAGTTTCTTCGAGAACACCAACACAAACGTTTGACGCAAAAGAGCAAAATCCTCTATGCTTCCTCACCCTGTCTCTCAGGCCTCGGGGCTCAAGCATGTGGAGCGGTACCCCATCCAGCTCTATCGTTCCCGACTGCGGGTCGTACAGGCGCGTCAGCAGCCGCAGTACCGTGGACTTCCCGCACCCGCTGGCTCCCACGATCGCGAGGGAGGACCCCGCTTCCACCTGTCATAGTCACCGCACCACGTCATGATTGCTTCCACCTATCGTATGCACTAGTTGCATGTTTGCTTCCATGTGTCATATGCACCGTACCACGTCATGATTGCTTCCAACCACTTGATGCACCAGTTCATGTTTGCGTTGCGCGAGTTTTTTTGTCTCTGTTCGAGCCCAAAACATGCGAACAATTTTGGGGGAAATTGTACTCGTGGGCGTCCGCACAGCAGAGAGGGAAAGCGAGATAGAAGACGAGAGAGAGAAACAGCAAAAGAGAGCAAATTAAAACAACCGCGGCAACACAAGAACAAAGCAGCAATGAAGCAAGAGACATCAGGAGCAGGTCAGTCTGCAGCCGATCTGGGAAGAGAGAGAGGGGGGTGTTATACTGCGTATGGTCCTGTGCAGATTATAGTCCCATTGTCAGTGTCAATGTTTTCTCACCTCGAGCGTCATTCCTCCGAGCACGGGAGCATGGGGCCGTGTGGGGTAGCTGAAGTGGACATCCTGTTCGCGGTGTTGCAGTCGCAACAGCGACAGCAGTAGCAGCGACAGCGACAAAAACAACGACAGTACCAGCAGCAGCAGCAACAACGAACAACCAACAATCAAATAAGGCGACAGGGGAAGGAGGGCGTGAGATCAACGAGGACAGGGAGGGGGGTTGGAGAGGGTATTGATACATTGGTTGCCGGCAGATCCTCCTAATCAACGGTTCAAAACCGTAACGGCAAAATAAACGATTTACTTTCCACTCTCAGCGAGCGCGCGTGGGTGGAATTGTTGGTAAGAACAAAAAGCGACAACAGCACACCCACCCGCGACACCAGGGGAGAGGATATCTCACGCGCATCGCCGTTGCCCCCCTTTCTCCCGAGGCAAACATGACCGCTACAGCTAGCGTCCACACTCAAGAAATCTGACGGCTCAAGAATCCAGGCTGAAAAGATAGAAAATTAAAGAACCTGGCCATAATAACAGGTGCTCCGTCAAGAAGCCTACCAGTACACTAAAACCTATACAGCAGTCGCTGTTGGGTACACCGCAGAGGGAAAACAAGAAACCATCCTCGGCGTAAGCAAGAGGCGGGTGCTAGTTGTGCCTTGCCTTGAAAACCACGTGGCCCGCCACGGTATCCCCTAGCGCTGCCCCCCCAGCGATCTCCAAGTTGGCGGCGCTATCTCTTGTTGCGCTATCTTGGTCTTGGTTGTCGCTTGATGCAATGGCGGGCGGTGCTTCCGCGGAGTTGATGATGGCCATGACGCGCTCGCTCGCCCCTAGAGCGCGCATGATCTGCACGTGAAGGCGCGTGGAAAAACAATTACTTCTTTGCCAATGGTAGCTTTTATGTGCACGTAGAAACGAACACGGGCGCAACCAGCATTCTGAGCTTCCCAAGTCGCGGGAGAGAACGCCAGAGAAGCCATGAAAATATGCTCGCAAATACATCACTACTCCCCAGTAAGGAAGAATCAACCGCACGAAGAAAAAAAAATCGAACGGCTACAGTAAAGAGGGACAGGCAGAAAGCACGGTCCGATGTCTTGAAGTCGAAGGTGGTGATACGTCTCAATCCGAACCGTGCGACAAGCTTCTTATAGATTCTTTACCTTCTTTCCTTTCTTTGGTGGGAAAGGTTCTTCCGAAGTGGGCTGCGCTACGGATACACCAAGTACAACAACAACTCAACCACAGAATGACCGCACGTACAGATGTTAGAAAAAGCAAACTTCTGCTCAAGGTCAAGGGTTCAGGTTGTTCTTTCTCCTTCTTTTCATGCGCCACCACCCGTCGAGAATGGGCTACCGTACCGTACCGTACCGTACCGTACCGCACCGCACCGCACCGTACCGTACCGCACCGTACCGTACCGTACCTGCTACGGGATTAATTGCAGAGGAGGGCTCAACGCCGATGCTTCCCTCCCCTTGATAACACCTATCCCGAAACCTCCCTGATCAACAACCTCAGCCGTTTTTTCTTTCATCTCTCGACAACGTGTTGCTCCTTTCATCCTGCCTCTGCGAGTACCAAGCTTTTCACGGGGATTTCCTCTAGGCTGACCTACTGTACCTGAGAGTACACGCCAGTTAGGCCGCCGAAATTAACAGCCAGGAAGGTGGAGTACAGTAGGAATGACGTCATGTCTCCGATGCTCAGCGCTCCCGAGGCCACCTAATCGTTTTTCGCGTGTTGGCGACGTCGTTAACCGCCCCGCATTGGGCGTTTTATGTGCGCCGCAGCCAACGAGGTTGCGGACTATGATAAAACGATTCACCAAAAGGGGTTTGCTAAGGGCTACAAAATTGCATGTCTGTATCCATACGTGGTTTGTCATCAGCCCGCCCGCAAGCGCGGTCTATCCGAGTAGAGAACCACACACGCACTATAACTTCCGGGCAGTTCTCTGACCCTCCGGCGTTCTCGTTGTGTGGTAAGACAAGCCGGGTTGAGGCTTTCGCTCTCCTCCACACCCTCTCCTCCTTCCCCTACAGTTTTTTTTCACCTCTCCGTTCTCCTCCCCTCTCGCCACTCTTCACACAATTTTTCTTCTCCGTGCCACCATCACCCGTCCTTTTCTGCCGGCACCATTTTCCTTTCAATTTTTTTTTTTTTCATTATGTTGGGAAGGGAAAAATGGTGCTAAAGAAAGAGGTGAACGATGGCGGCCAGGAGGAGAAACACAAAAATAGGGAAAGCCAAGGAAAAGGACGAGACCGAAGGACCGGAAGAAGAAAACGAAGAAGGAGAAGGAGAAGGAGAGGGTGCGGAAGAGGGCGAACGCCTCCTCGACCCAGGTGATATATCTTCCCACGCAACAAGCGCCGGAGGGACAGAGGGACCGCCCGAAAATAGCGGGTGCATCGAGGACGACGAGGAGGATGGCAGAACCAGCAACAGTAGATATCTACACGGAGGTAGCGAAAAAGAACACGAATAAAAGGACAGACTTCGGTAGGGGCCCCGTAAGCCGTGGTCATGAGTGGGGCTAAAACCAGCAACAGGATCTACACGGAGGTGTGCATGGCGAAAAAGACCACGAACAGAAAAGAACAGACTTCGGTAGAGGCCCTGCAAAGCGGGGTAATGGGGGAGGCTAAAACCAGCAATAGCCTAGGAAGTAGCGAAAAAGAACACAAATATAAAGAACAGACTTCGATAGACACCGCCGTGCACTAGTCTTCTTGTGTTGTTCGGTTTGCGTTTTCAGCCCAGAGAATGGCCTAGCCTCCCCCGTGACCCCCACTCACGGGGCTCCAGATCATGGCAGCCTTTAGAAGCGCAGCCTTTCCGAATGTAGCCGCACTGGACCTTGACCTCTGTTCGTTGGTCGCCAGTTTTCGCGGCCATGGCCAAGAGTAAAGACAAACACATACCAGGTATGCTATGCATACACACGAAATGTGCTTGTCCCGTAGTAAGACTGACTGTCTTCTTCTGAACAGTCAGCCAGCTGGCGTTGTCGATGCTAACTAGCCAACACTCACGAAGACACTCGTGATATTGGGGGGGTTGTTTACGTTTACAATCTCCCGCTGCAACACGCCTGATCAATAACCATCGGCCTGGGGAGCGCAGTCATGCTACTGGCGTGCTTCATGAAACAGATATGAAACACACATGCCTGTACTTCACGAAACACACACGAAACAACACCAAACGTTAAGACACACAAGAGGTACAAGGTGCAAGACGTAGAAGATCTACCTGCTGTCCACCGAGGGCCATGACGGCACACAGGGACGCGTGCCCGCCGAAGTGCATGCTTCCGGCAAAAAACGCGTCCGTGACTCCTACCCTCCTCGCCATGTCGTAAGAGATGCCGACCTGTTGTTCAATTGTTTACACGAAAAGGAGGGGGGGGGGGGGGTAGGGCACGTTTGTCGCTTGCCTTTACCAGGTGGAGATCTAGAATAAGTCGATACATTTCAGCAAGTACTTCGAACAAAAAAATTAGGGTATCAGCAAATCACAGCAGACGTAGGCACCTTCTTGGCACACAACCGTGCGGATCGTTTACTCTCAGGTCGGTGGTGTGATAAAAGATGTGTACCAGGAGGTTAGTCGGCCTCCCCTTGTGGTGCTGTTGGAGGCACACAACTCTCAGACGCAAAAGAAAACACAAACACAAACACAAACAAACACAAAGTATGACGCCCTCGGATGAGGTGACATCTAGTGGAAACCATTCTAGTCTACACACTGATCGAAACTGTTCGAGATTGACCGCACCAAACACTTGAAAGCCTTCAACGAGCAGCAAGTAAGTGCATAAGGATGCTTACGTGTCTTTGTGTTTGTTGTGCAGTTGCCTCGAGGGGAACCCGAAAAAAACGAGGCGTCACATTTAAAAGTGTAAGAGTAGGTCTACAAGAACGTCTTCAATATACTCTACTGCTGTTCAACATTTGACAAGAGTTCATACAAGATAAGAGATCGAAACCAGCTGAGCTCTTTACGCTCCTGTCGTCCGCTGTACCCTGTGCGGCTTCTTAGCTGTACCTTAAACGGCTACCTTGCCGTGTCTTCCACGGCTAACCAGCTGTAATTTCGTGGCTGCTCAGCTGTACCTAAAACGGTCACTCAGCTGTACCTTCCGTGGTTGCTCAGATGTACATCTACAGCTGCTCCCCTGTGCACCCTTTCCAGGTGTGCCTTCATGAATCCCCCCTTACGGCTGCTTCGCTAAGATCCTTTTAATAATGCACTGCTCGTTGCGCACACGTATCTCCTACCAGCAGTTCACAGAGAATGACGACTGCTGCTGCTGCTGTGCCTTAACCTCGTCCAAGTTTCCTGAGGCGGCGTGTGCACCTTTTATTGCCTCACGGTCAATTGATATATTAACCGACACCACACGTATAATACCTATACCTTTTCCGCGTATCTGCCCTTTTCTCGGAACTCTGCGCTGAACTGCCGGACAGTGCGGATGTTGGACAACACCTGCAGATGAAAAACAATAACACAAATCAACGGGTCAGCGGGGGTGTCTTTAACGCAAAGGTGTCGTGTTGTTGTAGACTCCAAGAGCATTCAGTTTCAAGCACACGTCGTTACAAAGACGAAGACGGCCGTGACACCCCAAGAGAGCCGTGTGGACCTGTTTCTCTTCGGCGAGTGGAATCAGCACTTAGCTCGTAGCAAAGCGTACTCGCTGCGAAGAGAGAGAGAGAAAAAGCATCACCTCTTCGGCCACGGCGCTACTGCCCGCCAGCGCTTGCTGGACCTTCTTCTGCTGCTTCTTCATCCTCCGCCCGAACCACACGCCGACGCCTGCCACGGGCGGGAACACCGCTACCGACACCATCGCGAGCTCGGGGGAGAGGTTGCAGAGCATCCCCGTGCACCCGACGACCATCAGCAGGTTACGCAAGCCCTGCCAACGAAGCGAATTAGTTCGTTGATCAAGAACGGAATATTTTTGGTTGAGCGGTGTATTTAGTTCCGATTCTATACTAAATAGGAACGTAGTAGACGAACTGGGCGGGAGGGGGGGGGGGGGAGGGGTTCTAGCGTGAAACAAGCTGATAATAACGTTGTCCAGTGGAAATATAGTTCGTTTTCTCGGTTCTTGGCGGAGCTACAGCCGTAAGAAGGGTGCTCGGTCCTTGAGGGGGCAAGAGGAAGGCGAGGATTACGTGGAAGACTTGTTTCCCGGGCAATATAGAGGGTTCACGGGGGGGGGGACTCTGGACGGGACTACACACGCAAGTTAGGCGGCATGCTCGGTCTTTGCCCGGGGGGGAAGAGAGGAAGGCGACGGTTGTGTATGGGGGGGGGGGCTCTGGATTGGAATGTGTACATACAGGGGGGACTCTGGATTGGACTATGTGTGCTCGGTACAGTACAACAGTACCTGCGCGGCGCTGGTGGTGACGCTCCCCTGCACCAGGAGGACGTCGCTGGCAAGCCGGTTCACCAGGTCCCCGGTCCTAAAATCGGTCGTCGCGATGGGGCGTGTGCACGCAGACAAGCGGCGAGCGGTGACGGTCATCAGTTTGTCCCCGTGCGGAGGTAGGGACCCAAACCTTGGCGAGAAAAATGAAGGTTACGAGGAACAAGAACAGGGACGGGGTACGCAGACTCTTTTTTTGCTCCCTGACGCTAACCCTAGCCCAATTTTTCCCCGATTGCATGTTTTGTCGAACGTCTTTACTTGAACGAAAAACCCTGCGAAGGGTTAGTGCAAGAGGGTAAACAGGGGGGGGGGGGGGGGGCGTACTCTAACCCTAGCCCAACTTCCCCGATTGCATGCTTTATCCAACGTGTTTACTTGAACCAAAAGCCCTGCGAAGGGATAGTGGGAGAGATGTAGTAGGCAGGGGGGTGAAAACGCGGAGAGCAGCGGTAAATTGCCAGACTTCCAGCGGAGAGAGGCAAGGGGGCGACGCGGGAAAAGCCGCACAAGCCTTGCAGTTACATAAATGCCCTCCCCGAGACACACAAGGGGACAGAGGCAGCGGTGGGGTGTACAGGTAGGAACGTTTTTTATTGTAGCGTGAGCACGTGCTGTGTACAGAAAATGACGAACAAGGATCGAGTGCGGGCAGAACGGGTCTTGTGCCGAAGGTTTGGTGGTGCAAGCTACAACTGATCAGGAGGAAGGCGAGAGAGCAAGGCTGCAGATAACTAAAAGAACGAGGAGGGCGCACGTATGGCGAAAAATACTTTCGGTGCCCATGGTTCATCAAAATGCAGGACTCACTTGCTGTTTCTGTAGCCGAGCAGTGACGGGATGGGACAACAATATCTTTGCCGCGAAACAGCGAGCGAAAAATGACGCTTGACTCGACGGTAGGGAATGAGTCAAGCGAACAGTCACACCCAGAAAACGAAGGTCATAAATATCGCTGGTTTTCTTACACCCGAGGTTGGGTGACTATGACTACACCCAATCACAGCAGTGAGAGATCAGCAAGACATTTACGACTCATCTCGTCTATGCGTGCCAGATTTTTTTTCTTCTTTAATATAATAGCATCCTTCCCTTCCCTACCCTCCCTTCCTCACGCAGCACCTGTTTCGGTCGAAAAACGCCGTTTCTTGGACGACCATGGACCCGAACGCGAGATTTCTGAGCCTGGCGGCAACCCGCTCGCCCGCCACCGTCATCAGACCCGACCTTCGAGACGCGTCCGAGTCGTCGTCGTCGTCGCCGTCGATCGAGGTGACGGCAACAAAATCACCACCCGGCGACGGAAGCAGAGGGAACAACGTATTAATAGTATCGTTGATGAGGCGAGAATTTGGATACGTGTGCGCTGGCTGTGTGAGTCGTCACAAGGGTACGTCTGGGTGGCTGCATCACAGCGCCACCGAAAGCATGCCTAATCAGAGGGGGGCGCATCGCATCTTTCCACTCGTCCAATATTATTGCGTCGTCAAAACTGGAAATATTTTTTTTTGTACTTAGCACCAGCTGGTATCACTGATATAAATCAGTGTGAGACTTGAATAGACCCGAAATAAGTCCAGTACCCAGCCGGTTTTCCTGCACTCACTGAAAATAATCCACCACATCCCTTTCGACTGAGGTTGTATCTCGAACGGGCAGTCTTTCTGTGAGGTTATGTTTACTTTCTAAAAACCAAAACCAAGAACCAAACTAGAGAAAAAGTCCCTGTTTGACCGCCATGTGTCACGGCAAAACACCGGCCTTACACAGGGCACCCGGCCTTATTCAGAGTATGAGACAACTTGAATGTTCCTTCTGTGCCAAGCGATTTCACCTGCCTTCAACAGGGCAACCGGCCTTAAACAAGCGGCCATAAACTCTACAGTAGTGCGTTCCCAAAACTGGAAATAAATAAAAACAATACAAACGCTAGTTGTACTTGAACACATGGGTAGACCAGAAACAAGAGCACAATCGACTGCCCACGCCGGTGTCATACCAAAAGGCTTGACAATGAATTCGCCATTTCGTGTTATCCTTGCCCTACCTTCCCGTAAGCATGATGCTCTGGGCCCCGAAAAGAGCCATGAGGATGCCCGCCGCCTCCCAAGGTGTGTAGGCTCCTTTTTTTTTCACGGCAGAGTTCAAGACGGGGCGAAAAACGACAGCAGCGACGCAGAGTTAAAAACAACTGCCAGCACGGAAGAGAGAGGCACATCCAAAACATGGCATACTCGGAAAATGCGAGAGAGGAGAGGGGAGCAGCATCGGAAAGGGGCCCCGTGGACGGGAAGGAAGAGTGGCGGGGGGGGGGGGGGTTGCGCCGACGGCGGTCGAAGAGTTAGGGGACGTGGGGAAGGAGAGGGGACGCGACCGGGAATGGTAAGAAGGACGGGAGACGAGAGTCGTTCGAGAAGAAGGGGCAGAAAGGAAACGGACAAGCTTAAGGCTTAAATGACGAGAGAAGCGTACATGAGAAGAAACGATCATCAGATGGGGACAGGCTGGAGGGGGAGAAGAGCCGAAAATATGCTCTAGCCGAGAGAAGACGCACGCGTTAGAACAAACACGGGTTAATAGGGGGAACGAAAGCGTCGAAGATGGGGAGGGGGCGGTGGGTGACTCCTGCACTCACGCGGTACACGTGGGGTAACGTCGACACAGAGAGCATGCTTGTTAACCTACAAGTCTCACCAGTTCCCTGCATGACCGAGTCGATGAGTCCGCCCATCACCTTCGGCACCGCCAGCGAGATCGTCGTTGACCCAAGCAGGAGCACGATCGATCCACCAATCAGCTTGCTCTCGGGCCGCGCCAGCTCCAGCAGACGCCGAGCTTGGTCGGTCAGAGCTAAGGCGGAGATCTGTGCCGATGCGGTCGGCGCAAAAGTGGGGCCGGGAGTCAAGGGCAGTAGGTGAAGGTGCCCCCAGCCCAGAGACTCGTTGGGAGGCATGCCAATACGCACACCAAGGCAGTGCCGCTTCTGTGGTCAGTGACTTGCACATTGTTGTGTGCTTCCTGCCCCAAACTAACGATGTCTCGAAACGCATTTACCGTCGGCAGGATGACGCGGGTTCTTTCGGACCAGAACATGAACATAGAACATCGAAGAGCCTACAAGTGATGGAACTATTGGCAGTATAGTCGATAGGGAAAACAGCCGGACGAGAGACGTGCCCCAGCTAGTAAACTGACGTAAGATTCCACAGAGAGTGTGGCTCCATCAGCTGCCGACCGAGACCCTGTGTTGTAACTTGGGCACTGCTGTCAAACACGCCACTCCCGACACGGCTACGACGATGTGCATACAAATGAGTCATCAACATTTGATGCTCAGACGCTCAGACCCGTTGGAACAAAATAGAGCGGACTTCAACACTACCGGAGGGCTTTCCGCTACCACAACCCACAACAAACTCCAATGAGTTGGTAACCCTTCTGCTGCAAGTGTGGCAGGTTCACCCCCCCGCCATGCAGTGCATGTACGGTTAGCCACGGCATCCTGCTCACGCCTATCCCACAGCAGTATCCCGGCACTCGCCTTTGGATCTGCATCAGGCTCGTCGACCTGCTCAGAAGTAATCGTGCTGCCTGTGACCGCCTTCTCCTTGTCCGTTTCTCTACCATCGTCACCACGACCGCTGGCGGTGCTGAGCAGCGCCCTCCGACTAGCGCGTGGCGAAAGCGCTGGGCTGTGACGGCCCAGCCGCCTCTGAACGCACGAAGGTGCCCCTGCTGCCGTTCTTATCCCTGCTGCTGCTGTGCGCAACGATCGGATCAAGACATCGCTCTTGAGGTCTCGTCGCGGTTGACGGGGGCCCGCGGGCGAAGCATAGATGGAGGAGCATTGCCTCGCGCATCGAGACACTGGTCGGAGCATCCCAGCTTCAGAGATCAGGGCACTGGCACGGCCTGTGTCCTGTCGGCGCTACCTGCAACGTTTGCTTCCCCGGTTGTAGTCCGCCATCGCCAGCTACATGGAACTCCTGTTTTTCAAAACCCTCTGTGTGCTGTGCTGCTACGCTTGTACGCTTTGTGGCTCATCCCCGGTGACAATCGGCCTGGTCAATACAGAGGCATCACCGCAAGACCCTCGCTGCAATCACAAGCTTGGAGCTGTCAAGAGCGTTTGGGCTGGTTTCATCAAATGAACTTGGCCATGAGAGGTACCCATATGATGTTTCCTCTCTTGCAGCAGTAGACCAAACGGGGACACTGCTGTGGGAACACAACACTAAAAATGTCTGTTTTCCGCACCGTAGTCGTCAAGTATGCTCCGCTGTGCGCTGTGTGGAACGCGAGTGGGAAACCTCAAGCTTGGTCTACCATGCTTGTGTGATGTGGTACTCTGTGTGATACACTGCTGTGTTATGCCTTTGTGCCTCTCCTTAGCCTGGGACTTGCTGTACACTTATCGCCCATGCCTCGTGTCCTTGTACAAAGGTAACCTTGTAAAAGTACAAAGCCTGCTGGACTGCTGGACTGGAAAAAATTGCTGACTTGGCTTCAGTTACACAGAACGTGTCCCCACAATCCATTTTTGGACTTGTCCCCAAAATGTGTTTTCCACTTTCTTCCACTTTCTGAAGCTAAGGCAGCCTTCGTCCGTCGGGACTGCTGTACAGCCTCTCCCAATGAGCGGACGGAGGAGGGTTATTTATGCCGCATCCTGTGTTTTGCCGTTGTAAAACTTGCGAGGGATACCTTGCTTGCAGCCTGCCACAAGAGTCAGGAAGGGGTATGACATTCGCCGGCAATACCAGCAAGATAGCTTGCTTCTCCACTGCGCTCTTTGTTCGCATTGCATATTGACCGACATGCGCTGTGAAACAGGGATTCTGCTGGCACATACTGCTGTACATCGGGGACAGCCACCAAGTGTTTCGCGGTCAATCTGTACATATGCGAAGACTTCACGATTGTGTCTATTACCCCCCATACTGTTTTGTGCACCCCTGATCTACGCGAAAATTTGCAACCACCGAGGTTTTTGCTGTCAACCTACTGCAGCAGACGCACGATTGTGTGTGTTAACCCCCCTAGATACTGCTGCTTTTGTCCACGCTCGTTCGTGAGGAAAGGTTTCCCCTGTTTTTGTTGGTCCCTCTTCGATGACGAACACCCACTCATTCGCTGTCCTTCAAAAGGTTCCCCTCTCAGCTCCGGAGCCATCCGCCGGCTGGCAAGAGCACCAACGCCATCGCTTCAATCAGCGCCGCGATTTTCAACAGCGTGCGGCTTCACCCCGACTTCGGCAAGCCGACTCTCCGCCGCGGCCTCGCCGAGACCTTCTCCGTTCCAGCACGGTTCGCGACGCCCCGCCTCGACCACGATCGGTAGCGGCGACAGCACCACCGCGAACACCACGGCTTCGGGGCCGGCGGCCAAGAGGGTGTTGTACAGCGGGCACCAGCCCACGTCCCCCCTGCAGCGGACGGCCATGGCCGGCTGGGCGACGGTGACCGCGCTCATGGACCCAGAGCGGGCGGACATGGTGGCGACCCTGGGAGAGGTGACGGGCAGGCTGGCCCTCGAGCAGCTCTACAGGTGTGGTGAAAGAAAAAAAAGGAAACGTTGAAACAAACATTAATTTTTGTCCCCACAAGCAGTGTCTCCCGTTCGGGCTCTCCCCCATTGTGTTGTAGTTTGATTCTCTAGCGACAGCGCTCGCAAAATGACAAGACTCGAAACGTTTCGTCTCTCGGCAGAGCTCCGTCGTCGTCTTTCCTCCCCTCTTCTCCTATAGGCAGATGCCGAGAGTGAAGCAGGTTTTGCATGCGGAGTGAGAGCGGTCGCCGCTGTCGACTGCAGTTATCAGAGCGCCCCCGTCATCCATCACACCCGAGGTTTCTTCTCACTCACAAACCGCGGCGGCCAACCTTCTGACCGTCGCAGGTCCATGCTGGCTGACCCAGAAGGGCGGGAGATCCTCCGGGCGAGACCGGTTATCAACGAAGCCACGGTTGACCTGGCCGCGCTTGCGGTGAGTGTCTGAACGACGACATGGCATGTCCTGCGGCCGAGGGCTCTTGGCTTGACAGAGGGCCGCTGAGAGAGACACACAGAGAGAGAGAGAGAGAGAGAGAGAGAGAGAGAGACAGACAGAGAGACAGAGAGACAGAGAGAGAGAGGGAGAAAGAGAGAGACAGAGAGACAGAGAGACAGAGAGACAGACGGACAGACAGACAGAGAGACAGACAGATAGACAGAGAGAGAGAGAGAGAGGGAGAGAGACAGAGAGAGAGAGAGAAAGCTGGCAGGGACGGGCAACTAACTCCAAGGCCTCTGCGGGTGTCCATGAGCTTTTCTATTACAGTTCGACCATTTTTCTCTCTGGTTCACCGCGTCTACAGCAGTGTCTTCTCACTCCTCCCATCTTGCCTTACACCCGTGCGTGCGCCAACGTTTTCCCGTTGTTGTTTTGGTTCAACGTCAACAGGCCCTTCCCGATGGCACCTTGGGGAAGAGCTACTCCAACTTCATGAAGGAGAACAACTTTTCTCCCGATGGTCGCAGCCCGGTGAAGTACGTGGACGACCCGGACCTGGCGTACGTGATGCGCAGGTAACAAAGCCCCAACAGAGACACGACACCGTTCAGGTGGATGGTAGTTCTCGACGGCAACAAACACTGCCGGAGAGTACGGCAACACTGCTGTACGTGCGAAATTGGTGGGATGCGGCAGTTTTGTATGCTGTGCTGGCGGGAAGGCTCCCCTTGTGGAACGGGCGGCTCGTTTGGTGCGATTAGCGAATCGCCATGCAACGTGGTGGGTATATACCAACGCGAGGAAGTTTCGTAGTTCGCAAGGATGCCAGAGAGAATCAATCTTCGACGGGGGTCCAAAAGCTTGCAACGGTAGCGGCGGACGCGGTGACGGCGCGGAGATGCTCTCTGCCTTTAAGCCACGCGGAACTCGATACCGCAGGTCTTGTTTTTTTTTTGTTTTTTGTTCAGACATGGAGGGTTCGGTGTCGCCACATCGCCATGCCGTGTTCGCCTGAGAATGCACCAACCCCGAGCGCTTTTGAGGCTTGTGTCCCAACGAGGAACAACAGAGAAGCTGAAACATGTGAACACCGGGATTGTTTTGTCGCTCCTGCCCTCTTCCCTCCCTTGCGCTACAGACCCGGGTATGTACAGAGCTCGTGCACTGACAGACGCGGCGCGGTACGTACGTTGGAATACAGGCGACGCATCTTTTCCGGAATTAACGTCTGGTGAACCAACGGTTTAACGAGTGAAACATAGCCTTAACATCAGCTACCCCTTCCCCCGCCCCGCCCCTCCCGGAACGATTGGTCATCGGCGATCGTTCCTGTGGGAACAATGCTCCGTCCGTCCTCTCTCGAGGACGCGTGTTTTCAATGGTCTAACCGCAAAGACATGACTACCCCCCCATGAGATTCCCACTGTCCCTATCTACTGTCTAGCGAACCGG